TGTCACCCAGGTTGGGGGTGAAGGCCTGCCCAAGCTTTCCAGGAAGGATCTGCGAAGAGATCAGTTGGAAGACCCCCTCTGCGGCCTAGTATTGAAGGCTTTAGAAAGCAAAAGCCCTGATTTGCTTCTTACATCGTCAAGGGAGGCCCGGCGGCTACATCGTGAGTGGGATCGGCTACAGTTACGCCACGGAGTGATCTACCGAAGGGGCCCCTCTGATGATCCTGAAGAGAAATGGCAGCTATTTTTGCCCGCAAAACACAGAGAAACGGTGCTGGCCGCTCTCCATGATGACCATGGCCATCTGGGACCAGAAAGAACCTTTTGTTTGGTAAGAGACCGCTTCTACTGGCCCTGCATGCGGACAGAAGTTGAAAGTTACTGTCACTCCTGCATCCGATGTATTCAGAGGAAGACTCTGCCTCAACGAGCTGCCCCAATGGGCCACCTTCAAAGTCAGGGACCCATGGAGTTGGTGTGCATTGACTTCCTGTGCCTGGAGTCGGATCAGAGTGGACAGGGAAATATCCTGGTAGTGACTGACCATTTTACCAGGTATGCCCAGGCTTTTCCTGCTAGAGATCAGTTAGCATCAACTGTGGCAAAGATTTTAGTAGAAAGGTTCTTTGTGCATTACGGACTACCACAACGTATCCACTCAGACCAAGGGAGAGATTTCGAGAGCAATCTCATCAAGAGACTCTTGAGTCTACTAGGCATCCAAAAGTCGAGGACTACTCCATACCATCCTCAGGGAGATCCTCAGCCAGAGAGATTCAATCGTACCCTCCTGAATATGCTCGGGACTTTGACTTCAGTGCAAAAGCAACACTGGAGTAAGCATGTAGCAGCCATCGTACATGCCTACAATAGCACTGCCAACGACGCTACAGGATACTCTCCTTACCGGCTGATGTTCGGCCGGGAAGCCCGACTGCCAGTAGACTTGGCTTTTGGAACCTCTGTAGACCATACCTCTGCAGCTTCCCATAGAGGATATGTGGACCGCCTAAGGAAAAGCCTGAAGATTGCTTATGAGAAGGCTCAAGCCACCTCAGACGCCAGGGGACAGAGAAACAAAGAGAACTTTGATCTCAGAGTGCGAGAACAGGACTTACAATCTGGAGACAGAGTCTTACTGAGAAATCTGGGTATCCCTGGAAAACACAAGTTGGCGGATAGGTGGCGATCAGAGCCCTATGTCATCTGCAAACAATTGCTGGATTGCCAGTTTACCAGATTCGACCGGAAAAGGGTGTTGGCCCACTCAAAACCTGGCACCGCAACCACCTTTTGCCTTTGTCAGATGCAGTCCGTCTACCATCACAATCTGATCCACAGTCTACCCCCTCAACTTCTCAGAGGACTAGACTGTGTGACCAGGTCTCAACCCCATACCACCTCCTGCAGATGCAGAGGACAGTGAGAGTGAGGAGGTAGGGACAGATTTGCTGTGGCCATCTGACATTTCCGAACCCACCATTCCTTCTTCCACTGGAGTGACTGACGTAGTTCCTCTTAGGCCAGAGGCTCCTGAATTTGTGCCTCAGGCCCAACCTGCAGAAGACTTGCAAGAACCTGAAGACTGGTGGTCCATTGTTGATGAGGGAGAAGATGTGGAGGAAGCTGAACTGGGAGAGACAGAGAGAGCGTCGAGCAAGAAGCAAGGGTTGATGAGTCAGTAGTGTCAGAACCAACATCGGAAGCAACGCCAGAACCATTGCTAGAGCCAAGAGAACAGAGAGAGCGTAGAGTTATTCAACCCCCAAAGAGACTGACATATGATGTGTTGGGTGAAAACTCTGAGGAAGTAGTACATGCTTCTCAAAGGAATCTCGTGACGCCTGGTTCTCCTACAGCAGTTTCGGTAGAGAACAGCCCCAACTCACCCCCTGGCACATCTGGTTGGGCCATTCCCATTAGTGTGGCCTATGGGCAGGACAACCCTCACTCTGCTACATGGTGGGAGGTTCCTCTGCCAGATTCTTATGCAAGTGTGAATAATTTAATTTCCTGTGTGTACTAACTTTGCTTTTTCTCCGCGTGTATATATAAAAAGCATGTAACAGGTTGCTTTTACTGCTGTCTTTGGAGGACCAAAGCTTCTCTGGTGGGGGGAGTGTGTAGCAGGCTCCTTGTACAAGAGGATTCAGAAGGAATCACATGTTCAGCAGTCAGTCCTTTCTCTCTCTCTCCTGTTTGTAAAACCTGGGCATTCTGCCAAGTTGATGACTCATCCACTACACAGCAAAGAATGCAGGGAAGGGGAGGAAGCAGGAAGTGAAGGGGGAGAACAGAGAGACACGAGCTGGCTGGAGAAAAGACAGGGACATGTGGAGCCCGTCCAAGGAGAGGAGGAGGCACTACAGCACCCAGCGCGGATAGAGGGACCCTGCTGTGTGTTCAGAGTCTGGTGAGCTGTCCCACTGGAGAGAGTAAGACACACCATTTACACTTTGCATATAGACTGGGACATCCGCACCCCACTGCTGTGATCTCACCCATCCAGGGCCCTGTGCAAGCCACAGATCCCTCTGCCTGCTTTGTCCCTCACCACCAGTGTAATTGAGACTGTCTGCCCCGGGGACTGACACATACTGGGAGATTGCATCCTGCGACTGCTCCTGGTCTTGGGGTGCTTTGTGTTGCGTTTAGACACTGAGGTTGGACCCTCTCAGCCCAGAAACCTAGTGAAATCTGATGTAACCCACACCAGCTGAAACTCCAAAGAAGCCTTCAGCTGCTATTTACTTCATTATAAGGACTAAACGTGCACCAACTAAAGCTCCACCGTTACAAGGACTAGAGTGGGGGAATCTGGCTTAGTAGCCTTATTAGAGGTACCTCTTTATTGCATTCTGTTCTGACTCTGAGGTGATTTTTGGCTAACGCCCCTCAGAAGCAGAATCATACACCGGTGTGGGTAATACATTTCATTGATAGAGCATAAGTAAGTTTATTTGTTTGATATCAGTTGTATTCTGCTTAAAGTGCAACTCTGCCATCCGGAGACTCTTGGCTGTGAAGCCCTCTAGTGGCAGACCAAATTTTACTGCATTGCATAAAAGAAGAAAAGTAAGTTTTGAAGTTGAAAGGGGAACCCCACCCCTCTACACTGCATTTCATTCTCCATAAAATTGTTCTTGTTTCATTTAACCCTGTGTCAGCAAATTTCTTGGCGGGGTATTTGCTATTCATTACCAGTTGTGCCAGAGGGATTGGGTTTGCTTAGGGTTGGATCTATTGAGCACAGGACCCATAATATATTCCAGCTTGTCCCGAGGGGCAGTGCTACACTAGGTATGGGGGAACATATGACCTCCTCCTAGGATGAAGGGCTCAGGGCTTAGTAGCCATTGAGCAGGCCCGAACACTGTCATGTGAAAGAGGGAAGGAATTCATGAAGACTGTCCAATGCTATCATAAACATAACTTACACAGGGTTTGACTTTCAGCTCCAAAGGAGGACAATGTGGTGCTGTAGTATGGTGAAGGTAAGTATAAGTGGGTCATGGGTTTTCTTTCAAGAGACACATAAATGGGTGAAGTAACAAATTGTCTCTCTAACTGTAGTTATCTCAAAAAGGGGGCCCCTTCTAGCAATGGCCATAACTGGTTAATATATCATTTTTTCAGAAACATGTATTTGTTAATAGAGGTATGCAGAAATTAAAGTGGTTGTAAACCTCTGTAATAAAAAAAATGAACCAAGCTAATCCTTCTATAGTGTGTACTTGCCTCATTCCAAAACACCTAATGTGATCTCACCTCCCTCTTCTATCTGCATAAGTCACTTCTGACTCAACACCATAGAATCCCTGGTGATACCCTGTCCCCTTCTCCTCCCAGCACACAGCAGGTGTCGACAGCCTCAAATGTCCATGTTTTTCTCAACTGTCTACGTTTTCCTATAATAGTGTGAGAGAGTGTGTGTGTGTGGGAGGGGGGTGTCCATTCCCTTCACTCAGTTCTCAGATTACACTCAGCTCTCCCCTTCTCTCTATGCAGTGTGTGACATCAGATCCCAGGCCACTGTCTGGTGCTGGGAAACAGCTTTTGATCTGTGCGTTTTAGGAGGAGGTAGAGACATGGGGATGCAGATAAACAAGTATAACTTATGTAGCAGGATTTGATGACTGTGTATCACCTGAAACTAGTTACTTCAATATATGTAAGGGTTTACATTTTAAAAGGGACATGCATAATCTTGCTTTTTTTTTTAACTTATATTTCCAAAAGATTTACTTTGTATCAGGTCTAAGTTCAGAGATAAATGTGCAGCCTTTTGATCTAAAAATTATGTATATACTGTATTTGCTATGCTAAATGCTTGTGAAGGTCATGAAATCCTCATTTGTATATCTGATAATTCAGTCATTAACCTCTTTAGGACCATCCAATCCATATGTGTGACGGTTAAAGAGTGGGCTTTAATGTCTACATGCAAAACATATGCGTTGCTGGGTGCCTTTGTTTATGAATGTGCGCTCCCATCAAAACACCGAGCTGTCGTAGACAGCTCTCAAGTCTGGGCTACAGACTGGTACCTGATGGGAAAGGCTTCATAGTGGTCACATGATCACTGATCCTTCCTGCCTCCTACGTATTCCAAGAGTTTCAGGTCACTCTGGGGTGGGCAGAAAGGGATTTTAAAGCATGTAAAATAAAACACAACAAACATCCATTCACCTCACAGGTATTTATTAAACCTCTACAAAAACGTCCCTGCTGTACCCAGCTTGTAATAACTATAAATGGTGGCATATGTAATATACAATCTTATCTTCTTCTGCTCTCTTCATGTTGCCATTATTTGTGTGTTAGATAGCAAACTGGTTTCTTCTCTTCTAGTGGGCCAATATACCATTTATGTCATTACTCATGTCATTAACATAAAAAATAAAAGGGTTTAGCTGTAGCATTAGCTGTGTTGAAGATTATCACTGTTATTTGATGGCATTGATTAAATCTGCTTATATGACTTTCATTTGCTTTGGTAGGTTGATAAAAGGTACCACATACTTCAGGGAGCCTGGGATAGCGAAGCACATATTGCCCAGGCAGTAGATATTTTAATTTCAACATACAATCAGATTAAGCAGAAATTTCCAGGGCGATCCAAAGAAGTTATACTGAAAGGTAAGAACTATTAAAGCAAAAACCCTATAAAATGCATTGTCTGTATCACACTCAAGATTAAGCACACCAGCAGCTGCGTTAGAACGTGGCTGCTGAGGTGCTGTAAACAGCACATTGCACTGCTAATGTTTTTTGGCAAACTTTATTGAAATGTCACAAAGTGACATTGCATATTGGCCACAGCATGGTGTGATGTAATGGATTGTGTTGCACCACTGAAAAAAAGTACTGCATGTCATACTGTTTTCAGTGCACACCACTGCAATGCGGAGCTGTGAACTAGAATGAAAGGGAATAAGGCTTTGGCCTTGTCTTGCATTGGGACAGTGCTGGGCAAGGCTGGCCAGCACAGTCCCAACACACAGATACAGTGTATCTCCTCTCAAAATTAGCTTGCAATAACATTTTTAGTGTCTATACTGTAAGTGCTAGTCTAGTAATGGCAGGAGTCTAAGCAGCCAGACCAATATTTGCACTCACTCAGTGGCATGTAGAGATCTGGAGGTTCAGCCTCACCCCTTCTTTGCCACCACATACTTCCCCACCTCCTCTATTTTCACTGCTCCCCTATGTCACATTTGCAAGGACATGCAGAGTTGCTAGCTGGAAGAAATGTGCAGCGTCTGGGATGTTTGGGTTCTGTGACAGGGGTGCAAGGAGGTTTAGAGTCAAGGGTACAAGGGGGTGCAAAGTAGGAAAGTGCTAGGAGACAGGAAGGTTCAGAGTCAGGCGTACGGTGGGTTGGTAATAGGGGGTGCTGGGTGACAGGGAAATGTCAGGGTGCAGAATGTCAGGGGTACTGACCTGAATATCCAAGCTGTCAACCTGTAAGCATGCAGGGATGGTCCTCTTACAGAGCGCCTTCCAATATGGGCAGGCTTCTGGACCAAAGCAACCACTGATCAAGGTAAGTGCAAAAGAGTTTAGTTAGCATGGGGAGGGAGGTCATTAGGACTAAATTGTCTCAAAGTATCATTAGCCTTTAGGTCTCCTTCAGACCGATGCATTATGATAATGTATGTTTTACTGCAATGGCACCACAAGGCCACCACCACTTCTTTAGAATGGCAACCCTATGCACAAGTACAGTAGGCAACGGCCTCGCACCACAACTTATTATGTGCAGGTATGTTTTTTTTTTTCCCCTTGCTGTACATTCTTAGCCAATTCTTGATCAAATTTTAATGCAACACACCGCAATGGAATGGCATGGTATGAAGGGGGCTTTAATATTTTTTCTGTTGGCCTTGTGTTCTGTGGACTGAGGAAAGTGCTTCTGAAAATTGCGGGCAGTATATGCTTTCCATGTATGTTTTAAGAAACGTTCAGCTCATTTATTATCAGCTACTACAGTATATGTTTGAGATCCTAGTAAATACATTTTAAAGAACTTCAGAGTTTAATAAATTGGAGGTGTAATTTGTTTACAAAAAAAAAAAAATCGTCATGCTATATTTTAAAAAAACTCAAGAATTATTATTATTATGCAGGATTTATATAGCACCAACAGTTTACACAGTGCTTTACAACATAAGGACAGACAGTACAACTACGATACAAATTAATACAGAGGGCCCTGCACGTTAGAGCTTACAATCTAAGAGTATAAATGCCTTATGATTGACTTTTAACTCGCAAGATAAGGAAACTTTCAAACATTATTTTCTGAACGTTTCCTCACCCTTGCTTCCTTCCATCCCCACTAGGCAGATTTAACACACCCTTCCCACTGTATACTAACATAGTTCCGGCAGCATTCTGCCACAATGTTTAGCTGTGGCCCGTGCATTTTTAAATTTCCGCTGCCTACACTTGTGAAGTAAAATCCCATAGGCCTCTATGGGGCCAGGAACTGTTAAGGAATGTAGTCACAGGCCCACCCCATGTGGTGTAGATGATACAGGGAGTCAATACCACACAAATGTAAACTAAAATGTCTGTGAGGTCTGGATTTGTGGCTGATAACAGAACTTAACAATTTAGTATACTATACTAGGTTTATAATTGCCTTTTGTAGCAGACAACACAAAAGGATCATGGTATGACAGTAATATTTGTTTTGTTTAAATTCACTATAATGTGAGCAAAAGCTCAGAGGTGGGCTTTTAATTAAATCCACAGTGTATATATACACTAGAAAATGAGTTTCCCGGGCTATACTAAGTGGAAGCTGCTTTGGTAGATTTGGAGCATATGAGTGTGTGTGTGTGTTTTATATATACATACACACTCCTTTTAAAAACCTGCCCTAATAAAATGACTAGTGCCAGAAATGTAGCTATTCTGGTCACAGTAGGGGAGACAGAGGGATATGTACTAGGTACCTCCAGGAGAGGCCATCATCACTTTACTTCTAATGTTCCATCTAGAGATTCAAAACCAGGGATTGCTTTGTTATGCTAATTTTGACCAGAAATCACATAGTTGTGTTCTATCCTCCTTCTACTTACCCTTGGCACCTCATTAATGCTCATTGAGACAGCTCATGTCCAGTAAGTAAACACTAGGAAAGGCACAACCATGCAAATTCGTGTCAGAATTAGTGGAATGGCAGGGTTTACCCACTTAAATCCCATTGATCTGTTATTTATACAGCTTTAAGGCTATAGACGTACACAATTCTCCTCAACCTTTTCCAGGATGATTCCGCTCTGGCCTCACAGACCCATTGTTTGTTGTTATTATAAATGATATCCTGAATTTATGCAATTATCACGCATTACACTAACATAGTATGCATAACCTAACTGTTGTAAACTTCTTGCAGGAGCTATTGCTGGATACAACGCGGAGTTGGAAATGTGAAGGACATAAATGATGTTGACCGTTACACAACTGGAAAAGACTATGCCAATGATGTTGTTGCACGAGCACAGTTCTTCAAAAGTAACGGATATTAAAGCTGAGGTTCAAAACTGAACTCCAGCCTTAATGCTTAGTCTTGCACAGTTGTACAGGCTCTTCTAATGTACTGAAATTGTGTGCTCTGATTTCATTGTACGCTGTGAGCTTCTCTTCCTACGTATATATGGTTCATAAGTATTGTTGACTTATTGTTTATGTCCCACATTCATGCTGAACATCTTATACACACATTATTTTAGTTCTCCTGGTCTCAGGATATGTTGACTGTAACCAATACTTGCCTAAGGCATACAGTGCATAATATTTTTTTTCTGGTGCACCAGAAATTATTCCAGCTTTACAATTTGTAACCACCATCTGGTGAATCTTTTCAGCTTTATTGGCCTGATACCAGTGTCAATCCTAAATATGACATCTGCAATTTAATTCATTTCTTTATGTCTTAAAGTTGGTATTTTTATCAAATCAAGTGAAACCACACTAATTCCTTATTATTTGCAAAATGATTTAACCAAATCCTTGTTTTCATTATAGCATTAAAATCCAGCTGAAAAAATTCCTTTCCCTGGCAATCAGAGATAAAAGCTGAAAAAAAGTGTATTGTTCACAAAATGCACTGGAGCCAAAACTGTTAGCACTACTTTAATTGCATGCCAAAAAGACAGCAGTTACAGCAATATCACCATTATGAAAGTTGTGTTAAATATATATTGTTTAATTCAGTCATAGTTTTTTCACATATATTACAGATATCCTGTTACAGCGCAGATCATTTACATTTTTTAAAGCAGATGTCTTTAAGCCAGATATCATTTTCCCTGATAATTAGGTCTCCAGATAAAATTAATATCTTTCTTTTGCCTCTGCTCTGAAAAAAAAAAAATATAATAAAATGAGTATCTGTGTAAGCAATCATGCCTAAATGTCCTAATTTATACATGTGTATTTTTCTCCAAGTTCAGCTCTCTACTAATATGTGAATATATAACTGTACTTTTAGTAAAGGTAACTTTTAAAGCGGGATTAAACTCCACCGCTGCTGCCATAATGTTCAAGTATGCATAGCTATTTACACATTATGGCAAACTTACCAAAGCGCCTCCTCCAGTGATGCAACAATGTCCCTTCTTGCTTTTTTGCCACTGCTGATATCTTCTACTTGTCTTTTTCGGAGTTTTGCTCTCAGAAGCCCTTCTGCCAGCAATGTTTTTAAGAGGAGTTTCATTACACTTAAAGTAGCCACTTCCCCAGTATATGCCCCAAAATATAAATACTTACCAGTCCGAGGTCTTTGCAATGCAGCTGTGGTCGGGCTCCTCTTTATTCCTGCAAGTGCTCCACAATCTGTTTTCATTTCTATTGAGGGACTGACTATTATGTATCCCAGAAGCCTGTCCATTGAAATTAATGGAGTATTTTTTATGAAGTAGAGCTCAGATCAAAGATTTCTATAGCAGTGCCTGTGTAGTTCCCAGCAGGCCACACAGCAAAGATCTTTGTGTTATAACTAGTTAATATAAGGCTTATGGGAAGGGTAGGGGGGATATTTAATGGATACCTGTACTAAAAGGTACAATTATCCTTTACTGGTACTTTCAAACCATTTCTATCCCACACTAAAGTGATTGTAAAGCTTCTCTTTTTTAATAAAATAACAAACATGGTATACCCACCTACTCTGTGCAGTGGTTTTGCACAGAGCAGTCCTGATCCTCCTGGTTCCACCCTCCCACTAAGGTCCATAAGACACAGAGCGAAGCCCCCCCCCCCCCCTGTGTACATCATTGGATCGGGCTCAGGTATGTATTTAGTGCAAGCTGTGGGAGGAGCTGCACGCAGAAGGATTTTTTTAAAAAAAAACCTTCTGCTTTTACAAACACTTCAAAGCAGATCTTATTGCACTAGAAAGGTCTGCTAAGGCCTACTGAAGGCCTCTCCCCCATGAGAAATACCTGATCTAAACCTAAGGGAGAAATGAAATAAGTAAAATAAATAAACCTTTATACTTACCTCCATGCTGCAGCATCAGTGTCGAAATGCAGCTGTCTCAAGCCAGCTGTAAGCCTGAGAATTGAGCCATCATATGACCAATTGTCTGCTCCAAGTGGAGAGTGGTGACTGTCAGCCACCACTCTCTGCTCTGCTTCTCCAGTGCTCACTGGAACCCCAGGCTGGGGAGGAGGCAGGAGTGTCTGGCTTCAACTCTTAGCCATGCACTGGAGGAGCAGGGCTAACTGTTAGTCAGGCAGCTTAGTAGATCCTGTTGCAGAGCCTGGCTTGGCACTGCCCCATCAGCTGATAGTGGGTAATATCCTTGGCCATAATTCTCTTAAGAAAAAAAATGGTTAAAAAAATGAGTTAACATACTTATCATTACCACCAATTGCTGTCCTGCATGGAGTAACATCACTACAGGAGGGTTTTCTCACAAGATTTGGGATACTCAGTATTCACTTGGAAACTAGCTAGAATGATGGTGACATTACCCTTCCTAGGCCCCGCAGGCATAAGTCAGAGGTAAGAGAGGTATATCATTTAGCTTTTTTCCTATTAGTGTTTAAGTTTTGTAAATGAGCGGAACTTGAATTTTAACTGCAAGCCCTGCTTTAAGGGGGACAAAGTGATGCCATTTCTTTGCCCCTACAGAAAAAACCCCCATAAAGATCCCTAAGTTCTTGTTTAATAGGTTTTATTAAATGTTATAGAAGGTAGAGGTGAACAACAGCAGGTAGAAACATACAAACACATTCATGCCAATTTCTGCAGTGTCAAATTAGGGTCTACAAGACCTTCACATAAATTAATAGATATTATTTGACCAAAATATTAACACATGCTATTGAACATACTATTTTTGGTCAGTGGGTCTTACCAATTTGGCCTCAGGGTTCTTTCACACCACGCTGTAGTAAATTATCAATATTAATAAATAACAGTAATTAATAATATCATTGTTATCGTGGAAACCGGAAGAGCAGGTTTAGAAAAATACCTCTTCAAATAAATTTCAGTCAACCTTGGTTCTTTTCCAGAGGAAGTAGCATGTATTAAATCCCAGCCACATGTGGGAGGTGCTTAAGATGTCCTGAAGAGGAACTCTGGAAACATCACTTGCTAATACCCAACTAATGAGAAATCTTCATTAAGGTGGAACTCCAGCTTACAAGCGGGCACACTTTATGGCACAATTAACTCTTCTTGTCTCATTCACTTCACAGCAGTGTTACACTTGACTAACTGTACACAGTCTTCCTTCCAGGGTGCAACACTTTTGAGGGGATACCCCGGAGCCTGTATCCCACTATCTAGCTCAGTTTTGATGTCACCTCACTCCCAGTGACATGCTACTTGAACTAAGCCAAATCTTGAGAATCCTCTTCACACGCTTTTCCCATGACATACAGCTAGATACATAGTGACTGTTTGATGCGGGTCCGGTCCCAAATATAAAGGAGCACTGGCCACTAGGGAGGAGGTTGCATTCAGTCACCCCCTCACTGCACATCGTCACCCTTGCTAGTCACACTGTATACACCCTGGCTGGCAGCTGAAAGTGTTACTAAACCCAGGACCCTGCATTCACTATATCTGGTCTCCCACAGTACACAGAACATGGAAATGCAATTACTTTAGTAAATATAAACTGCTAAATACCTTTTCTCATCAGCAGTTACAGCAGTCTTGTGACTTCTATCAGTGTCCAGCAGAGCACTGGTTAAAGCTTGTAGGAGGAGTTTTCTTTTTGCTCTAGGAGGATGCAAAAGCCCTGACCTCTGTCTGGACAGTGCTGACTGGCCCTGTGCTGATCACATGCACTCTCCCAAGAAAAAAAAAACCTCTCTAGCAACACACAGCAAATTGAGCATGTGCAGAATGGCTACAGATTCAGTTTGTCTTATCAAGAGATAAGACGTGGACATTTGAACAAGAGAAGGAGCAGAGAAGTCAGGATCAAACAAACTTTTTACACAATGCAGAGGATTAACCCCTTAGGTTCTACAGTGAGTATAACAAGCATGCTTCACTGCATATACAGACTGATTTTATGGTTGGGGGTTTAGTAACACTTTAAGCACACTTCCGGTTACTCATATCAACGGCAATCAGATCTTCCACTTCTGGCATTCTCCACTTTTAGACCTTTTGTAGTACACATCCCCTGATGTAAATCTTGTTCTTTTGATACACCTGCTTTACACTTACTCTTTTGCAGGAACTTCAGACCAGACATTTCGTAGCTTAAAGTAATATTAAAGGTACATTTTTTCTAAAAATATAACAAACATGTCATACTTACCTCTTAGCGATGGTTTTGCACAGAGCAGCCCTGGTCCTCCTCTTCTCGGGTTCCCCGCCAGTGCTCCTAGCCCCTCCTCTTCTCCGAATGCCCCCATAGCAAGCCACTTGCTTCAAGGGAAACCTCTGTTTACTCGCTACTGAGCTGCACTCAGTGTGTCCATAAAAAAAAACAAAGAGGGCTCAGCCCTACCTCTGCACCCTCCCCACTGGCTAAGATTGACAGCAGCAGGAGCCAATGGCTTCTGCTGCTGTATCTCAGCCAATGAGCAGGCAGAGACCTGGGAGAGCAGCCGCTTTCATACACATCTTTGGATTGTGATCGGGCTCGGGTAAGTATTAGGGGGCTGCAGAATGGGGACCATAGAATGCATGAAGGTAAAAAACTTTCAGCCTTTAGAACCACTTAGTTTTACTAAAGTTTCTTTCAAGAACAGGATTACCAGATCGCAGTCTTTCACAGTTCATTCTAAGTATTTCAGGCTGCCCATATCATACCTCTAAGCAAGAGAGTGTCATTGTCTAAGGTCCATGTTCTGATTCCAATTCTCCAAGAGGGTGGCCACATATTCCCAGAGGAACTACATTTTGCAGCACAGCTTCCTGTCAGTTCCCATGAGGAAGGGGAAATAGCTTCTTTTTATTAGCCCTCCACAAGGGGGCAGAGCTTTGAAAACCCAGGAGTCAGCAGACTTAACCCCTTCCTAAACTTCCTGGCCAGCCTGTACACAAAGCTCAC